GCTCTTCCCTCCACCCCTCAGATCAAAGCGGCTCTCCCACCATGCGATTAGCAAAGCTCTGATTGTAACAAGAGGGGTTAACAGCTCCATCGGCCCCACACAAGACTTTTAATAGCCCTGCCTCGAAATGACAGCTAAAGCCTTCACATGATCCCTCACATGAGTGCCCTCTGGCCATTGCAGCTCACCGGGCTTCCTAGACAATTTGATTACAAAGTGGATGGGCTTTCACTTGCTTACTGTAAGCACAATAGCATCCACAGCATCCTTTAGGGACCTGAGCATCTGAGGAGGGGTTATGAGCAGGGATTAGCGGTACCTCTTCCTTTTATTCAACCTGCATAGGCCAAGGCAGTCTCCAGGGTTTTTATTTCAACTCTGGGAAAAGAGCAGAGCTTGGCTGATTTAAACCAGGTTGTGATGGGTAAGGTTAGAGCTCCTGACCCCCCGGGGCTTCTAACTCTGGGATCTACCACCAAGCGACTACACCTGCCGACTGAAGTTAGGGCTCCTGAGCTCTCTTTCCAAAGCTGAAGAGGGGATGGAGTCCGTCTCTCCAAAGGAGCGACACAGAAATCAGGAGACCTGTGTTTTAAAAATCTCACTAAGGAGTGCAATATTCTCCATGCCTCCGTATCTCATTTTCAAAGCAAAAGTAACAATATTTAGCCAATAAACATGTTTGTTATGGACAAAGCTTGTAAACTGCTTTAAGATTCTTCTGTGAAAGCAGATGTGGGAAGAAAAACATTGTTGTTTTTCAAAGGAGTTTGCCACACAGTCATTATGAAAGAAATACGAATATCAATACACCCTGCTGCTGTTGTCAGTGTATTTAGCGCTCAAATAGCAACATCTCTCGTTCGAGATCCTCAAGGCAGTGTCTGCAGGCTGATAACGCCCCTACGACAGCTGGAGAAAGCCAGGCACAGAGAGGCGCAGGGCAACCCCGGGGCAGTGGAAGGGCCACACCTTCCAGCCGCGCTGGACCACGCAGCACAAATTCAAAGTGTTTTAGTAACAGAGCCACGCACAGATCTCGTAAGACCTGACTCACTTCCCTTACTCTGATCATGCTGTTCTCTACATCAAAGAACTAGATTCTTTTTAAGTATTTACTCATCTGCGTGTCTGTTGCTATGACTGCTGGTGTTTAACTGAAAAGGTGAGGGATTTAGATAGGAAGTCATCCCCAGCTCTGCTTTGGAAGGAAGATTATCACTGTTCAGTTATTATAGTAGCAGGGCTGAATGCCACAGGACTGAATGGCATGACTGAAGCCCACCATGCATTGTCTAACAGATTTCACCGAGGACGAGTTAAATAAGGAGCCACCTGCGGGGGTATTGTTTTCTTGATACCTTGGAGGCGGTTTGAAGTGTATAATGCGCAAGTGAAGAGTTACAGTCCTTGCAATGAGCACAGGTGAGGAGGACCTGTGTGTACATGTGTTACTACAGCTTACATCGAATTGTAGCTAACGCTGAAGAGCTTCTCTCTGCCTGCACGGTTGGGAGAGCGGGGGGAAGGAGGCCCATGAAATCCCAATTCCTTTCTTTGCTATGAAACTATCTGCAGGATGTAAAACCATTCAAAGACACATTTGATCTTCTTTACTGCAGTGCACATAAAAGCAGCATCTTACAATGGGAAAAGAGCTCAGGTCTGAAAGTCTGGTCTTGTTTACACTCCCACTTCCAATGAGGAATGAGTTAATGCAATGTAGAAAGCATGGTACAGATACCTAATTCCCTCATTCACTCATCTCTGCCAAGTTCTTCGCCCATCTGTGAAACAGATTAAACTTTTGTACTGCACCAAGCAGAGAGCCCAGCTGAGATGGAGCATGCTATTTGCTCAGGCCTAAACAGATCCGCAGATTCAGAGGTCACCTACATCAGCTTCGCTAGGTGTGCACTTTAGAAAGATTTAGCTAAACCAGTTCAGAAGGCAGCGCAGGCATTAAAAAATGTTGTTTGTGCTGAGTGAGGCCTTCTGTATTTAAGGAAAGCCAAAGTTTACTTTAAACCCATCTTTAAGAGAGCGAAGGGGGGAAGCTATCTTGGATTTACTGTATGGCAAAAGCAGCATCCATGGCATAACTAACATGTTAATAAAGATCTACACCCCGGCACCTCAGCAGTTGGTTGGTGCAGCCGTATCTGATAAGGGCTTGCATGGGAAGTTACTGCAGAGTAGCTGGTGTGCTATAAACTCACAGCCTAGTTTACTGCACAAGTAGCTTTGCCACGCAGACGGACCTAAGAGGCAGTCCTGGCCTGATTGTTTCCACCTTCCTGCCTCACCGGGAAATACCGGAATTAGTTAAGAACATTTGTAAAGTGTTCTATACTGCTAAATTGCTACTTAGACAGAAACTGAACCCTGATCCAGCTTCCTGTCCTTTCCTCCGCTGTTTTACAAACTCAGAAGACTTTATGCAGGAGACTGTTGCCGCAAGATATGAATGACAATCCATCCTGTCAGTCAGTATGATAACTCTGACAGTACAGCAGCATCTCAGGTGATGCCAACTTCCCTCCACTCCAAAACTTCCCGAGGAGTTGAATAGAAAAAACAGCAGGGAAACCACCTTTTAGAAGATTGCCGTTATTTTTTTTGGAAGATTGAGGTCCCTAGACTCAAAAATTTTGTCATTGATAACTTGCTTAAAAGCACCTCTGGCAGCATCTTCATCAAAATGGCTAATAGCATTGTATAAAATTCTTTGATACAATTATTCCTGTTGTATAAACAAGATATAGCCGGTTACAGGCAGAGCTGGGATTACAATCGCAGTAGTGCTGAAATGCCAGGCTCTATCGCTTTTGCCAGGGGACCACACTGCTTCCAGCAGAGACATGAAGGGCATCGAACGAACCTATTTAGTGTAAGTACAAGTGTGCTTCGTACTCACCACCCTGGCGGCTCTCTCTTGAGATTCACATTTCCGACAGAACCAGGGTCCGGTAGGAACCTGGACAATTCCATAGCAAGCTGGAAAAAAAGCAAAGAGAGTTCATTAGACCATCTTTAAATCGACTGTTTAATTGCTCAGGTGTATATAAAAGTTTGCCGGAGCTGTTATCAGTCAGAGAAGGGTGACAAAACCAAAAGCTACATCTCCAGAGCATTTTATTCCCTTTTCTAGTTTCAATATCCAGCAACAGCAGACAGCCTTTTGCAAGAGGTCCAGTGTTACACATTTATTCAAGTTTTCAAATAAGCTCATGCCCAGTATAAAAAATTCCTATGAAAACCTGGCCTAAGTGGGAATGGAGCGCTTCATAAACTGTGTCTAATTCTGGTCTAGCAAACACAACTTGGAGCGATTTCTTACCCCTTAACTTTTCAAGTGTCACTAGTGATCTAAATACAAAATTATGAAATGGATGGCTGTGAGGCACCTTAACCATAATTAGGACTAAGATAAAATCTCAGCATCGTGAAGGAAATCATCTCAGTGAGACTTCAGGCAGACACCAAGCGAAACTCCCATTTATCCTGCACACCCTCGAGTCTGTAAGTCACATCCAGCGGCAGCCTTTCGCAGCATGCTTCCAAGATCACTGAATTCAGGCTTTTTATGACTACTCCTGGGAACAGGTTCCGTGTTAATGCAAGTCTCCAGCTGATAACCCAACAAAACGGCTGTTTTCATCCAGCTACACCATGCGTCCCTTTTGCCTTCTGCATCACTACTGATGCTCTCAGGGTCTCCCTCTGTAAGCTGCAGCTCCCGCTTCTTTAAAATTAGCTCCCTTCTCTGATGGGGCAATGCTGCTTGAAGACTGTTCACCTTCTTTGGCGACCTTCTCCCTCTAACCGCCCAAGGATGGTCTTTCTGAGTCCCAAAGGAAGCGTTTCTGACCCTGAAAGGGCTCTTAGCCACCACACAGGTGGGTTTAAAGCAACAGAGGCTGGTAAAGACAGAGGTAAGAAGTAAGGCTATGCATCTCAGACAAGGGTACAGGAGTCTCCTAGGAAAGAACAAATTATATCTTCCTTATTCCACCTTCAAATGCGAGCTGGTGGTTGGAATGGAATCCCAGCCACTTGAGACATTTGAAACTAGGTTGGACAAAGCATCTGAAAATATCCTGCTGGAAGCAATCCTGTGATGTTCCCTGGGGGATGGACCAGGCACGACCCGCAATAGGTTCTCTCCATCTCTCTAATGTCTATTATTCCACATCAGCCAGAAAAACGAATGCAATTGTAGAGTTAAACCGAAAGAGCTGAGTGCAAGATGAGCCAAGGCATACACATAAGAAAATAGAAACATGAAAGCAATGACAGAGGAGCCTGCCTTGGGTCCATCTTTAGCAGTGGGCTTAGGGCCAAAAGCCAGCACTCAGCTGCAGCCAGTGCGAGCTTCTGTGCCCACTGCTTCAAAAAGGAAGAAAACAAGGAAGAAAACAAGGAACAACGCAGAACATAAGTACGGCAGAGTTGAAAATATGATTCGTAAATGTTCTTAACTATCTTATTAGAGTCTTCATTTCCAGGCAGATGTTTTTGTTAACATTTTTGATTTTTTACTGGAAAGACAAGATTTCTAACCATTTGCACAGAAACGGAACTGGTATTTTTAAGAATCAGCCCTAATACGTAGCTATAATACAAGCTTAAAAAAAATACAGGGTTCTTTATTTAACTGTACAATCATTTCAGAAGGTAACTTTGGTTTTGCAGATATTCAAGCAGTACAAAGAGATACCAAACCCAGTGTGCGATTGCACGGAATGAGACTAGATGACCCAGATGATCCCCTACAGTGGTTTGTTTCTATTTAAGAAATAAAAGCCTACCAAAACACCACACTATTACTAGGTTTATGAGCAGGCTTTAAAAAGAGGGTTGAAGAACATCCGCTACACACTGCTACACTCCTTATGAATTATTATATCCTGAAGGACTCTTACAAGACCTAAACAGACAGTTGTGTTTCCCAGACGCACAAGCGGTGCCCTCTCTGAGACTTTTCTAACATGTTCCAACTCTACCAAAACAACGCTACGTGCCCGCTTCCCCCGCTGCCGCAGCAAACACATCCAGTCTCCGTACCTGTGCAGGGCTAGAAACAGGCACCCTAAAAGAATAAAAGCATTGCACATTTGCAACTGTTCTTGCCAGCAAACGAAAGTGTTTATATTAATCTTGGGAGTGGGCAGAAGGATGCCAGTGCCCTTTATCTCCCTCCAAAAAAGAGAGCGATGAAGAAACCTATTCTCTAGCATGTGGTTTGATAAATAACGGGAAGAATGGAGGACTTACATCAGCAAAATTAAAACAGAAAGAAATGCCCTTCCAGAGAGACCCTCGTCCTGCCGGGTCACTCAGAGGCACCCTGGAGAGGCTGCCTGCTGACAGGAGACACCCAAGCATCGCCTCTGAATGAAGATAAATCCCCGGCGAGCTTCGCTTCCTCATTTTAACTCCCCTTTAGTTACCTGGTTGTAAGCGACTTCTTACTAAAGCCGTGAGCATGGATACACCAAACGTACGAAAAGCAAACGAAAGCCCAACCTACAGACCCAGAGACCTGCGCCTGACAGGCGGGCAGAGGCAGAGCAGGACACATTCGCAGCTGGAGACAGGAGCGTGCATCAAGACACCGAGGGAGAGATTATACAGGAAGAGGCTGGAGATGTGCTGGTAGATGGATAGGATAATAATAGATGGAAAAACAGACATGCCAGATGAGACCAGAAACCTTCGTGTTATTCAAAACAAACCAACCAGGATAATCACCGTGCCTTTCTGCTGGATCTGAACGAAAGCAAATACATTTTTTTTTTAATTTTTTTTTTTTTTTTTGTTCGGAGACCTGAGGACAAACTTTCCAGTCCGATACCGTGCGTTAGGGGCGTGCTCCAAGTCATTTAAAATGCAAATAGTCCATATCTCTGGGAAGAGAAGGGCTGCCTTCCTCCCTGCCCTTGGAGGAGGCAGCTCGGGCCCCGC